CAAAATTTGATATTCTTAACATTCTGCTTTCCTTTGTTATAGCTGATTTTAAAAAAATATCTTATGATTCGCGGTAATAAAAAAAATTCACTTTACTTTTTGCAAGAAGCTGCAATAAATACTTTTTAAGCACTTTCTATTATATGCCATTCCCAAGCACAAAGAATCATTTTAATAGAAACTGTTTTAATTTCGGCCTTAATAGATGAATTTCTCTTGAAAAATTCTTAAAAACGCTTTATCGAATTACCCGCTGTCTCCATTAGCTCGTTTTTATACACAGTTTCGGTTAGTTTTTTATAAATAGACCGAAATTGCAAAGTTTAGTTTAAATCCTGTAGTTTGCATATACAATCTCCATAACTTTCTATGATTCATAAAAGAACGTCGCTATAAAATTTTATATGTACATGATCTTGTAAAAGAAAGGTCAAGTTTTTTCATGCACCCTGTATAAACTTCAAAAGCATTATGTCATTTCTTTAGGTACCTTGGTTTAAACAAAATACTCTCTACTCTACTAATTTATAAGATGTTAAATAGTGCCAAATGTTTATCCTAACATCAATCTTAATTATAGAACAAAAATATTAAAAAATGCAAAATAACCTTTAAAATGTGTAGTTGGTGTGGTTACCTGTGCCCTTACCACATGTATGTTCATCTCAGTGATGTTTTACAAAACTAAAAAATGTAAATGTGTACTTAATTCGTGTAATAACCACTACCACAATCGAGCTGGAATTTATATAAGGTGCTTACAATTTTTTATTGATAAAAAGTTCGTTAAACTAGACTGTTAGCAGTTAAAATCAACTTCTTCATTAATTTCCGTAGACAAAAGTGCTTTAAACCTGTACTTCTCAACCAAAAGTCTAACTTTGTCGGTATAAGCAGTATGGATATTCTTAGTTTAGAAACCTCCTCCGTTTATAAATGGATTTTGACTACTTTTGACGGGTTTCATATTACATATTCATAGGAAACCATGAAAATTGAAACCGATTTTGTTTCGGCATTTTTACCATTATGACTGAATAACAATATTGTTAAAAGTTATTTTTATTTTTTTATTGATATGGATAAAAGCGTATTGCCTTTTCTTCATGTAAACATTTATGGTTATGAATCTAGTCCTAACCAACTAATATTAATGTTGCAAATTTCCGATTGAGCGTAGGAATGCCTTACTTTTATATCAACGTATTTTAAACTTGAACGAAAGGGAGAAACTGTTTTTCACCGTAACTCGAACAATAGGTAAAAAATTAACGAAACAATTTTCTAAACGTCAGTCTTTTCCATAACTTGAAGTTGATTGGTCCTCTTTGTTGCATTTGCTAAAGATATGCCAGGTATTTTTACTAGCAATTTCTGGTTACTTGTTAAACCACTGTTTCTCTAAAAATCTCTTGCTATAAAAAAAGTTACATAACAACTTAGAAGGCACAAAGCCTTTGCAAAATATAAAACATCTAACAACTAAATAGTAACCACTCACAATAATATAATAATATTTTAGTATATTAGTATCTAAGTGACACTTCAGTTTCAGTTTCGAGTTTATTTAGGGACTATAGAAACTAGTGTTTAAAACGTTTCCCATCCGTGACCAAAGCATCGGAAATTCTCGAATTTGATCGCAACGGTGTTTAATAAAGCTGACATTTTAAAGTGCATACATGCACGCTTGATGGGTATATTTTCGAGGGTCACTGTACAATAGGGAGTGTAAAAACGTGTTTGAACTCATTAACGACTAACAAAAATGCAACCTACGTTTCCATCTGTTAATTAGACCGAATATTCGCTCGTCGTGTTTAGCCATAAATTTGTCGGTGTCGTCGTCGTGGTCGCGTAAAAACTCCAGCAGCCCGACGGCAGCAGGAACGACGGAGCGAGCGAGCAGCAGCGATCCGTCCTGCGGCGTGGGTGGCGTATATGACGCCAACAATCTCTAAACTGCTGCCTCTACTCCGCAGGTGCGGTGACCGCTATACGTTCGCACCCGCGCACCATCTCATCCATTCACGGCTGCGGTTTCTTTTTTTGGAAAAAAGATTTTTCTTGTGAGTCTCCACCCGTGCCGTTACGATAGGCTAATCGATCCGTCGGGGCGGAGTTTTCCGCACCGAAAGATATGCACATCAGCGCAGAAGATTTTATGTTCGTGTGTGCGTGTATGTTTCGTCCTTTTCTGTTTTAATTTGGCGTTTTGCAACCCGAGCCAGATGAGGAAAAAAAAACAAAAAAAAACGGCGGCGAGGTCTTTTTCGTCGTTTTATCTTTTCGTTTTAATGGTAAACAAGTTGAGCATACATATGGATTTAATAGCGTTCGGTATAGAGGCGGCGCACGGGGGTAGTTTTTTTTCTCTCAGTAACGAAGGTTCTTGTATTATGGTTGTTTTTTAAAGGTGGAAACGTAAGTTCGACACAATTATTTTAAAAGATCAGTCCAGTAACATAAAGCACAAGTAAAATATGCAAAACAATGCACTTTCGCGCTGAAGATTTTATCTTTAAACTCTGTGGTTCTACTGGCGACGAAATTTTTTCATTGAAATAAACAAATAGGTAACTCAGTTTCACATGAAGACAATCTTTTTGGGAACTCTGTGGTTTCAATGGCAACGTAATTTCCTCAAAAGATGATTGGATAATAGTTTTTCATGGCGACAATTTATCTTCAACATAATTATTTTGAAAAATCAGTCCGCATGACACATAAATAGAATTAGGTGCAAATAACGCACTTTTGCATGAAGATTTTATCTTTAAACTCTGTAGTTCTACCGGAAACTAAATTTTTTCATAAGAAGATTAGAGAGTGTTTTTTTTTTATTATCTGTTATTTTGAAAAATTAGTTCACATAACAGATAAATAAAATTAGATGGCAATAACGCACTTTCGCATGAAGATTTAATTTTTAAACTCTGTAGTTCTACTGGCAACGAAATTTCCTCCTGTTACGTACATGATGGTTTTTATTATTTATTTCAGTCCACATTAGGTTGAATAATGGTTTTTCATGGCGAAAATTTATTTTTAACATCATTATTTTGAAAAACCAGTACCAATTACACAGAATTAGAGTTATTTGCGAAAAATGCACTGTCGCATGAAGATAATCTTATCTTTAAACTGTATGATTATAATAGTAACTAAATTTCCTTATAGGAAGGTTGGATAATGATTTTTCATAACGTAATTATTTTGAAAATTCAAGTCTGCATAACACAGAAACAGAATTAGGTGATAGCAACCCACTTTCGTAGGAGGATGGATAACTTTAAACTCTGTGGTCATGATCGTAACGAACTTTTCTCTTAGGAAGATTGGAGTTTTTCACGAAGGAAACCCTAAGATTATTTACTATAATTATAATTAATTTAATTATAATAATTATAAACAATTATAATTATTTTGAAAAATCATTGCCCAAAATGCACAGTCAAATACAAACAACAATGAATGCACTTTGACATCTTATTTTTAAACTGTAGTTATAATAGTAACGTAATTTCCTCAAAGGAAAATTAGATAGTGAGTTTTTTATTATTTATTATTTTAAAAATTTGGTCCACTTTACACACAAATGTTACGTAAACATACATACAATTACATAAACACAATGCATATTCATGAAGATTTTATCTTTAAAATCGGTGTTTATAACAGTAACTTCTTCAAAGCATGATTACATAGTGCTTTATCTGTTAGATGTTATTTATTATTTTCAAAAATAAGTCCTGTCTTTTTCTTTTCAGTCATTGCTCCATTCCGAGTGTCTTGACTTATTCATTATACAAACCTCCATGCTTCCCTGTCTCTACGGTTCTCATGATTCTTGGTACTGATATATTTGTGATTTTCTTGATGTGGTCTATAAACCTATAAGGGGGATATATCTCTCGTTCTTTCGCCATCTTCTGGATCATAATTTTCTCCATCCCGTCCTTCCATGTCACGTGATAAAAAGGCTGGAGTATGCTTCGCTGGATATTGAGTTCGCTACTTATGAAAATATTTGTCTCACGGGCCATCCCAGAGATCCTCAACATCGTGCGTTAGCATGTCATTTCAACCGCCTCTTTTCTCTTGCGGCATGCAGCGTTTAGCGACCAAGATTCTGAGCCATGCATTGCGGTGTAGAATATCAGCGCTTTCAGAAGTCTCATCTGGGTCATTTTCCGGATATGGTGACCTTTCAAAATCTTCACCAGCCTGCCAGCTTCTTTTGCCATCCCAGACCTTCTCTTGATTTCTGACTCGGGCTGTTGGTTGATTTCGGTACCAGCGACACTGTCTGAGCTCGATCCACAATCAACAAACAACATTTGGTCCGGCATAATACACAAATTGAATTATGTGCAAACAATACACTCTGTCTACAGTCTGCATATTGCTCAAAGAATTAAAAGAATAGTAGTAGTAACAAAGTTTCTCATTGCTGACAGATGCTGTTTTTTTTTCAAGACCGCAATATGGTTAGTTTTGCTGGTTGGTTTGTGGTTAGGTTGGTAGTTAGATGGTTAAAAATGTGCAGCAAACATAAAGCATGTTGAGTTGAAAATGATTATCTTAAAATTTTTAGTTATTTCTGACAAATATCATCAGGATCCATAGAAGCAGTGAACCTGCTTTTTTTTTAATTTTATTCAAGATGGCAGTTTATTTGATCTTGGATCAATCGAGGCCAAATTTATTTTTAAATAATAATTATTCCGAACTTTTTTTATCTCACAAACGAAACGATTAATTTCGTTTTTCCCCGTATAACGAAGCTACAATTATTTAGGGCGAGCTGTTCGTGTCACACGTTTATGTTATTACAGAACAATTTTATACGTCGTAATTACTTGAACGCAGGACTTTAAATTGCAGATAAACATATATGCAATTTAAAGTTTAAAGATTGACCAATATTTTTACGCGGTTTTAATCACAAGATGTCGATCTTAACAGATTAGTACAGAACGAGTTTTTATCCGTTTCAGAGGGCAGCAAGTGTCCAACGCCAGGATGTGCGGGTCAAGGACACGTGACGGGATTATATTCGCACCACAGAAGGTAGGGGGACTTAATTGGCATTGTATTATCTAACGGTGTCTGTTTTTCGTACTAACCACGCATCTTTTAAATATAGTATTTCTGGATGTCCACGTAAAGATAAAGTAACACCGGAAAGTAAGTAAAACAGCGTAAAAGTTGAAGCAAACTTAACTCGTATCACCGTTAGTTAAGGTCTTTGATTAAAATGGCAATATCGAGTATCCAGTAATTCCCTGAGTTTTGGGGAAAAACTATTTCTTTACCGCCAAGTGGCCATTTCTAATCAAGGACGTTATGAACGTACAATATCCTCTCCCAATTGCTTGCTTTCGGTTTTATTTTCTCCCATTTTGTTGGCTTATTTTCGCGGGGTAGAGAGCGTTTTTGTCCATTTCCCTAATACGTAGCTTTCCTCGCACTATTCCTATCCCACTCTAGCTCACGTTCCGGATCAATTTCGACATTGAGTATAATAGCGATAATGATAACGGGGACCGCCCTCGTGTGTGTGTGTGGAAACGTCAATAATTTTGAATTCGGTAAAATTTTGAACCTCGCTCTTTTTTTATTATTTACGTTCATCTCTCTACCCGCTCAACTGATTGTTTTTTTTGTGTCTCTTTCTTCTGTAATGGATTTGATGGTCCCACACACTCTTTATTATACTCAATATAAGGTTACGATAATAATGGAGTAAAACTTTGTCCGTATATAACAATAAAGCTTCGTTCGTTTGCTTCACGGATTACGGTAGTTTGTTAAAATTTGTTTTGAGGCTTAGTGAATTATGGACAGAGTCTTTATTCACATTAAGAGTAAAACGGAAAGGCTAGTTTTGCGAGGTTATATAGCCTTTAGAACAAAGGTTTACTAACACAAACCTGGAAGACAGTTTTTATATTTCACCATTTCAGAATGGATGCTTTTTACCAAGATATTCCAGTATTTCATAGAGAGATTTTTTGTATGTATTTTTAAGTTAAAAAAAGGAAGAAATTCCAGAGTAATTCCAAAGAATTGTAAGTACTTAAAGCCATGCGACGTACACTCCTTCCTCTGCGGTTTACCACTCGGTATAAAGGTCCGTGTTTGATATACAGAGTGTGAGAAATTTGAAGAAAATGGCCGCAATTGTTAATAATTCTTAATTTTTTTTTCAGTTTAAATTGTTGGAAGTAACTAAATTAACTTAAAAAAAAAGTAAAATTTTAATTTTTAGATACAAGGCAATAATAACATTTCATTTGACAATGAATGAAAATGGTTTTTATTTTTTCACGCGAAAACTATACGTATACGTACCAGAAAAAAGCAAAATATGAGGTTCACACCAAATTGAACGAAAATTTCAAAAATAATATTTATTTTTGAAGAAATTGGTGATGTAACTAAAGCCTTCATTTAAAAAATGTAAAACGATATTAAAATTATGACAAAGAAAAGTTTTTTTTATCAGGACCTTGGAGGTATCTTTTTTCCTAAAAATACTTGAGAAATGTTATAGACACTTATTTAGTTTGTTTTTACCGGCTTTTTTTTCCAATTGAATCAAAACGACATGAAGCAAAAACTAAGAAATTGCAATTATTATTATGTTAAATATATAAAAGGTGTAATTGATAACTAAAAATGGAAGATGCGATTGCCCAAGGCGCGCATGTTTTCGAGATACAGGATGTTAAAGGCATTTCTACGGATAAGGGGTTCTTTCAATTATGTTGTTTATTTGTTTTTGTGCGCTCTCGATACAATACAATACAATAAGTAATTTTCGGAAAAATCCAGTAAATTATTTAATTTACGAAAATGGGAGAAAGTCGTTTATCTTTTTAAATTACTAAGGGATAAATTAGTCCCCAAATTTCAACACGCTGCCATGCGTTATTTTAACGAGCAAATCCATTTTGAAAGGAAAAAAATATTTTATAGAAACTACTTTTCTACATTCTACTAGGCCATTTACAAATGAATGTAATAAATAAGCAAATAAATCTGCCGGTCGTTAGTAGTTAAGCCTCCTCCAACTTTTGGACCACTAAACTAGCCAATCCGACGCGGAAAGTAACCTTAGTAAAAAAAATTGATTCCATGACGTGATCTAGTTCTAGCTATGCATGAAACTATCCTCAAATGTCCGACGCCGGGTTGCAACGGCAGGGGACACGTAAGCTCGAACAGAAACTCGCACAGAAGTTTGTCAGGTTGTCCAGTGGCGGCAGCTAATAAGCAAGCAGCCAGGGAGCAAAAATACCACACTAGTTTTCATCATAGACTAAAACCAAACCCGCTGTTTGGTAAGTGCTGGAAGGCACCATCCAGGGTTTGTTGTTGGGTCGCGTTAGGTCCCTCTATTTAGAACTATTATGCAAATTTGATAAATGTTTCGTCTACTATGAAAGAATAATGTTGATATTTTAAAAAATTGGCTTCTATTCCTTTGTCTTTTTGACTGCTGAAATCTTATAGCCAAAAACATGTTCTTTAATGATTTTATAGACGAGAAGGAAGATTTAATAACGATATCTCCCTTTTGAATGATTGGAAGTCAGTGAAATTTTGCAATAGAAAACGACATCTAGTAATAGGGATTCTTTCCCTTGATCATTTCTCATTGTTTAATTGTTTTATTTTCCAATATTTTCTTTAAATATTTCTGAAAAATAAAATGTATAGTAATCAGTAAACAATTTCTTAAAAAACTTCGGAAAAAGTGCTTACAAATTGATCTGCTTGGCAATTAAAAATATTTATATTTTAATTTCTTGAAGAAAGGAAAAATTTTAAATTTTCTCTTTAAATTTTTATGACAACTAAATATACCGTTTCATTATTACATGAAATTATTTTAGTTATATATTTTAATTATATAAAAAGTCAATGAATTATTATTAATTTATGAAAACAAAATAAAATCATATGATATGCAAAATATATAATGTATTACTTAAATACATTATTGTAATCGTATCCAACACAAAATAGTATGTCATTTTATAGAATTATTAATTATTCCTAGCATAAAATTATTAGTAGATATTCTACATACACAATATATTACATCCACTAGGTTCAAAAAATGATAAACGTTTGAAGTTATTTTACCCGTCGATTGGCCCTCAAAATACCCAAACAGGTGAAAAAAATATTTCGAAACGTCTTGTTTGATGCATGGATAATTTTTGATATATTTTCCACAAAACGCAACATATATTATACCTAAAAAAGACAGGCATGTTTTTGTCTAACCAAATTCTCTTTCCGCTTGAACAATCTTACTATTTCGCCTAAACAGTTTTGTCCATCCAACATCAAAACTGAAGAGTTCACTATCATGATTGGTTGTCCCATATAAAACACTGTTTAAAAGAATTGAGAAGAAAAAAGTTAACATAGTACAAGGTACCACTTTTCTAGGTACGTGCCAAAGTGACTTTTCGAACTCGACATCTTCCTACGAGGGCAAAAGGACGCCCACAGACGACGTGAAGTCCAATTACATAGTCCCATCGTACTCCAACGTACCGACTACCAATGCCGACGAAAAATCCGCTTATGACCAATACTACAGCGGTAAAACTAACCCAATCAAACCGGATGCGATGAAGGTACCTAAACCAGAAGTCGCAACCAGCTGCAGTATGTCCGGTTCGAACGAATTACTAGTACCGAAAACCGAACTCACAACCAGCTCTTGTCGATCACCTCCGTCTGGGATCCGATCAGCTTACGAGCCATATTTAAACCAAGATTCAAATTCGTCATCGCTGTCTAGCATGGAGACTATGAATTCCAGGAGCTCCCATCAGATGCATCATTTAAGCCCACATCCCAGCTCGCAGCCTTATAACATGGATCCGCAGATGCCTCACAGGTAACTTCAACAACCTTCTCCCAGAGGTGTAATTTCTAGTAAATATTTTCTCGGTCAGATCACCCTATCACCATTCCCCACTGTCAGAGGAAATATATCACAGGGAAAGAGTATACGCAGAAATGACGGAGCCCGTAACGACAATAGCAAGACCGATAGTGACTTATTCTAACGATATAGTGAACAGATCATACGAAACTTCGTTGGTCAACTCGGCGAGCCATCGACCATACGACCCGGGCACCGGTGGTAACAGTTTCGAACGGTACACCTCTACATCTCACTAGGAGCGCTTCTGTTGATAACGGCAATATTTTAGATACGATTCGAGTCAGTGTGTATCGCTCCAGCAACCTTTAGGACCTCCTCGAGTTCCTCCACAGGGTATTTACGGTTACATGGACGAATCTCAAGAGCACAGGTACCAACAAGAAGTAGCTGCTGCCCAGCAACACCAAATTGCGGCGGCAAACGCGCAGGGTCTTTTGAAGCAGGAAGAACAGGAACCATCGGCACCATTGTATCCAAGGCGAGTTGAACGCACATGTACTAAATACGTCTTTTAACGTTAAATAAACCAATAACGTAATTGTTTATGGGATCAAATTCCTGGTCGCTAAGTCGCGTACATATTCATTTTTAGGCCGATGTATCAATACGACGCGTCCAGTGGCGGGCCCGGTCCCCTTCCGGTGGGGTTTTCGGCGATCAACCTATCAGTTAAATGCGTGACGACGGCCCAAGCAGCCCAAATGAAAGGCTCGGGTCCCCATACCTCCCCCGGGGGCACAGTGATCGATCTTTCGACGTCTAGCGTTACCACCACCAGCCCACAGGTAAAATATTTTAAATATTATATATATAAATAGTAAAGAAATATAAAAAACAAAGGACACATGACGTAAAAAAATAGCAAACGTTATTTGAATTCGTCCTACATAAAGTTACCTTACTAAAGTTACGTTAACTATTTTTTTTTTCGATGAAAATTTCCTTTTTTTTTCGCTTTCGAGGACGTCATTTTTTGATACAGAAATTCGCGCAACAGTTTAATTTAAGGTTTGCCCGGTAAGCAGGAAACCTTTGAGCTGGAACAGACACCATAATTTACTTAAAACGGCGTTAATGTGGTCGTTTGGTTGAATAAATAAAGGTGCGGTGTAATAAAGTGTGATATGGTAATTGGGTTGCTACAGGTGGCTAGAGCGACGACTGACCACAATACGTCCCCGCATACGGAGGAAGTTCATTGAATAATAATGTTCTAGATTAACGCCCTTTTTCATTTGCGGGACATTTTCGCCTTCATTATGGGCGATACCATAGGCAATTAATTTATTACGTGATAACTGCCGGTTGGCCGTTCGCGATTTATGCAAATTTCTCGGATTAAGTGCATTTGGTTATAATCGTGAGGGAAGCAGGAAAATGTCCGAGGAGAGATGTCTCTTAAATAATTTCAACAGTATCGGGTACCAGGGATATTTTTGTAAGCTAAAAAATGTGATACAGGGAGGATCCTTACTTCGTTCGTTAAAATTTGACTCACGAGTTTTTAATAAACGAGTGAGTTAAAAAGTTTACCGAACGTGTTGTATACTATACTTTTTCTACGACCGTTAGTTTTTCATAGTTTAGTGACATGAACAATGATAAATGGTAACTGTTTCGTCCCTGGAATTATTATCGTAATCTGCTTCACTTTCGTGAAAAGATTAAAAATTATTTATTGCAGATCCACGAAATAAGTAATAAAATATATATTAAAAAGCCAATCTAATTGAACAACAAAAAATGGTCTGTATTCATTCCGGGTTGTTATTTATAGTTCATTTTAATCAAAATTTGCCTCAAAAATTAATATAGTGATACTATAACCAGTGTAAAACTTGATGCGCCTAAGACGGCTATTATTTATTCATAAAAAGGAGATTGATATTCGACGGGCATCATTTGACCTTGCATTAGACTTGTGAATAGGTTTGAGTTTTTGCTTGATAAAAATTCTACCGTCCACAGTTAAGATCTCTGTTTTTATTTTTTCATTTACTACCTCAAGAATCAATATTTCAATAAAAAAAACTAATAAAAATTAACTAAAACTAATCAAAAAATAAACCTTGAATTGAAATTGCAGGTCTTCTTAATTAAAAACCAGATTCGAATTAACTGCGTACGCACATATCAAAAAGCTCTTCTCAATTTTTTTTGTGGCGGCTTCAAAAGTTTCGGTGCTTTTTAACAGAGCAGGGAGGGCCTCAGTATCTACTAGCTCTATGAATAAATGACCCACTTTACATTAATTTGAAACAAAATTAACTAAATTGTAATGAGTTTTGAATGAATCAGATTGTTATAGACAACATACTAACAAACTAAATATGTCGATTTTACGTTTGAGTTAAAATTTAATTTCAACGTTTTTTGAATTTTAAATTTTGTGTCAATTGACATTTTGCAAGCTCTCAAATTACTATAATTTTTCTCCGTAATTTCTTGTTGAGAAGGGCCTACTTACATCAGTTTTGCAAGCTCTTAAATTACTATATCTTTTTCTCTAATTTCTTTCCTACTTACTTTTTTGTTATATTTTCATAAGCGGTTTTCAAAAAATTATTGGAAAAAATGAGAACATTTTTTTTTGACCCGTCATATGCAATTTTCTCTTATTTAACATTAGAACGAGAGATAAAAAAAGTATATTATGTTGGCAATTGACAATAACTAAATAACTTAAAGTACTTAACAATGAAGCCCATTCTATTTAAACCGTGCTCATATCGTATCGCATTTTTCAAAGGGTTAACGAAACTTTTCTCTCATTAAAAGTTTTTCTCCAGGTTGCCTACAGTTCGCCTCATTACGGAGGCCAAAGGGTGGGCGGGAGCCCTCAAGCCGCGGCCAGTCCCCATCTCTCAGCCAGCCCTCAAGTGCCCAGCCCACAGGGTCAAACTTTGGACCTGAGCGTCAGTCGTCTATCCCACAGGTGGGTCGGTTCACTTTTAATTATTTATCTTGTGAGTTTGGCAAAATTAAACACCGCATTGGTTGATCCACTGAGGACGCCAAAAATAACGACATACAAAATGACACCGTGTTACTTTGAAATTAAAAACCATTGGCGTAATTTTTTCAAAATTAAAATAAATAAATGAAACTAAAACCTTTTTTGGTCTTTTGCCACTTGACCACTTTTTGCCATAGTAATAGGTAGTGTTGGGGCTTGTCAATTGACAAGTCAAATTCGATCAAAATGTAACGTGCGTTTGTGATGTCCAATTTACCCAGAAGCCTCTTCGGGGAATCCCAATAAAAATATCCCATATTTCGATCAACTGACACAAAAAAATTGACCGGTTAATTCCACAACACTAATAATAGATATATGCAATACATTAATATAATATTACAATTATTATAGGATACAAATCAAATGTTGTCAAACTTGGACGAAATTTTCTCCCGTTTTTTTCGAAAAAAAACGGCTGAAAGCTAGGTCGACATTTATGTCAGGCAATTTTGCCATTTAAAAATTGAACTTGTCGTACGAATTTGTCAAAATTGAGTTAATTTTCATAGCAGTCGTAGAAAATAGTTAGAAAAAGGTTTTGAAAAAAACTTTTTGCATTTATTCTATTGGGAAATTGAATAAAAAAATATACATTTTAGAAGGACATTTCAAAATTCCACTGTATCGGTATGTGAAAAAGGAGCATTATTTTAGCTTATTGACGAAACGTTTTTGATACGTCGGGTTTGCGATGTGTTATAAATAGTTGTAAATTGTTACCTTATTTCTAATTCGTCATTTTGGACCGTATTATTATGCCTGATCAAATATTGAGGGGCTCGCTGTCACAAAATTACATTTTCGAGTTCTCCGAAGAAAGTTCGTACGAAGTTGTTAGAAACAAATTTGACGTGTTTATAAATATTTCACTTCGCAAACTAAGTTTAAAAGTTTTGTTAGCGTGCGACACATCGCAAACACCGAGAAGACAGGTTATTTTTTTAGCGTCTTTCTCGTTTAAATACTTTTATAGCCTTCATTTATGCTTTTTAATTAATAATACCTTATTAAAGCAGATTTTATAAAAACCCTGACCACTGGTTAGACTATTAAAAATTAAAAAAATCATTACAGCGGAGTGAGACCTGTTGCTGCGTTCACCACCTCGGGTCCTCCTCCTGGAGTATTGGCACCTGCTCCGGGTTCCGGATACAGTAGGGAATCGACTCCAGATAGCGGCGGTTCCCACTACATGGACGCCTACAGTCGGGATCCGGCAGGTGAATAAATTATTACAATTTTTTTTTTCGAAAAAGCAATAAATAATTATAAACGACTTCGTGTTGTAAATAAAAATGAAAATAACCGTCATCATCAAGGAAATCCTTTTAGAAAATAATTTTAATTCACTCTTCTATTCTTCTGTCACTGGTATTTATTTTATCATTGATACATCAATCGTTGTCGTAGGTAAGTCGTTGCATCTAATCAAGAATAAGGGACCAATAACATAAATAAATAAACAAACAAATAATAAAATAAGTAAATAATATGAACATATTTATTATTTCCCTAATTAATTTTCTCTCGTTATATTAAAAAGAAAAAAATATATTATAGTTTAAAATTGGAAATCACTGAGGCAGATACTTTACAACAAAATTATTTACTAAACACTAATTAACGAATATATTAACTACATTAAATTAAATAAACTAACCGAAACTGATTAACAATAAATAAAACGTAATGAAATCGTTAAGACGTACAGGGTCCATTAAAAAAAAACACACCAACAAGTTCGGTTAAAATATTAAAATTTGTGACTTTCAGAAGAAAAACTGGATCCTACTTAAAAAAAACCCTATACAGAGCAGTTTTCACATTTTCGTCAAGTTTGCGAACTATAAAGGGTGTCCAAAATCACATATGGCATCCCTGTTTGTGTCACCTTTCATTTTGTAAAAAAGTAGCCTTGGATCATGAAACCCGCATACGCCATAAAAATATCAAAACTGGGACACACTGTATATGTACAAAGAAAATACCAGTTTCAAAAGTCCACCACAGATATTTAGGAATTCTGAAAATAAAACCCGCAACCCCCCATGAATTTCTAATATTTCTAATGATTTTGGCCCTTTTATAAGCGGTATGTGGTATTGCGAAAGTAATTTTGACTTTTCTGGTTCATACAAGATGTAGTTATGTATGCATTGCTTCTTCCAATGCGGTATCTACCTCCAAAATTTTGCCTTTTTTGGATATCCTCTTTTAACACATAAAATTTTGAAATAATATTTAATAAGTATTAGAAAATATGAAAATTTAGATTTATTTTTTAGGTACTTTATGGGCCTAATATATTCCTTAATTTTTATAAACTAAGCAGACACCGAGTTTCGTTCCAGATTATTTTGTTTCTATTCTCTTTTCTCTACAGGGTATGGATCCATGAGTCCCCATCCAGGTTACGGGATGACCACCGTCGCGTCGGACTATGCGACGAACCCATACACGGCACCATATCCCGCTCCAGCCGGATACCCCTGCTCGACCGGAGGATATCCCGGAGCCGTCACCACAGGAGGTGGATATCCTGTGCCCCCAGGGGGTTATTCGCCCGGGGCTTGTTACTCGATGCCGCCGCCGCAGCATTCGCTACCCCAGCACGACAAATCGCCCAAGGACAGGTCAGTATTTATTGAAATTTTGACACAAATTATTAATGAGCCGTTCATTTTGAAAGTGACTTAAGTCCATTTATCTTTCATTTGAAAAACTTAAGGTTTTGCTTTTTTACAAAATTAAAAATATACGTAAGATGTATGGTTGACTTGCAATGTTAAATCGCATTTAAGGGATTTAATTTTATACATCCTATTAAAAATTTGCTATTATTAAATGTGTAATATGACCTTGCTTACCTCAAAAGGACTTAGGTCACGCTCAAAATAAAAATTTGTTTTGTTACAAAAAGTGATAGAGCTTTAGCCCGTTACATATAGGTTAAAAAACAGACAAAAAAGCATTTAAATTATATTTTTAGATAATAGAAATAAATTTAGTAACAAATTATTCGTTAACATTCTCAGTATGCTTGAGTGATTTGAAGTAGTTATGGTGTTCCGGAGGTATATACCGGAATAAGTCCATAATGTATCGGTATTTTAAGGATGTGATGCCTCAAATACTTTTATATAACGATGGCAATACAATATTCCCAAATTTTTGGATCTTTTGTAAACTGCTTCTTCCACGAGTCTTGTTGAATAAAATTCTCTTGTTTCATTTCATTTAGTATGAAAGTATTACCTTGCTATATGTTATAATAATCTTGTGGCACATACAAATAACTGATTTCTTTTTAACGACAGTTCTATAACGCCAAAATATCTGTCATTAGGTAAAAATGAATGCCTTGATATTAAAAATTTCTGTGGTCTATGATTTCCACATCATTTCCCATCGATATAATTTTTAACCACATTAAAGATATTTTGAAATATTGATATTTTAAAATATACATGTTACATTTATAATAAGCTACTGAAGTAGTTAACTTTTTGAATGGTAACGCTTTCTGCAAATCGAATGAAAAGCCAAAATAATAAGTTGGATTAGTATGGATGGATAATCTTGTTTTAACGCATTTCTAGCCGATTCTGCTAGCTTCAAATCAATACCTTGTTCTTCCATAAGTTCTTTCTGTTCTTCATGGTTTTCTGAGGCTTTGACTTTAATGTTTAATAGATCACATCTTTGACATGTGTCTGCGTGGTTGGTGGAAATGTAGGTTAAAATCCTTTTTGAATATTTTTCTATAAATCCATTTATTCACTGCTTTTAAATTATTTTCTTCACAGTGAAGCTAATAAAAATTAAACAATTTTTTATAGTCAGTTCAGGATGAAGATATTTTCTGTCGGGATTATGGTCCCCAGTATAATGGGATTTAAATTTCGGGAAACTGTTAATATGGTCTTGAACAATCATATTTGCTTCGTCACATATTTTTCTAGACGATCCAGAGTTTTTAGATTTTAATACACGTTTCAATCGTCCTTCGCTTATTTGAAAAGTATCTAAAAAGATTATTTTACAAACAGCAACTTTGCCTGTTTTAGAATGTAACCAATACGCAAAACTCTCATTGCTACATGAACCTTTTCCGTTTCTTCGAAGTCTTCATTTTACAACACTGCATCCGGTCGCTTCGTATTGCAATATATTTTGCTTATTAAAGTCTCCAAAGTTCCAAAACTCTCCTAACCAAAACTTTGGCAGGAATAATTTTTCCCGATTATGTATCATATATTTTCCCTGAATTCCGTTTAATTTTACGGATTTTCTGAATATAAGCACCACTTTCTCTGTTGAAGAAAAATTAAATATTATTTTTTAAATTTCAATTTAATATCAAAACGTAATTTAAATTACCTTCATCGCTGCTTTCAACATTTTGGGCCACACTTTTTGACATCGTCAATAAAAAGTGGACTTAGGTCACTTTCAAAATTACGATGTTCAGTATTTATATTATTTTGAAAATGTTCGTGATATAAAATTTTCAAATGCACTAAGTATATTTCAATACCTATTTATTTTTTTGACAGTTCAGTCCAGGACAAGTGCTAACTTGATAAAATATGAAAATGGACTTAAGCCGCTTACAAAATAAACGGCTTAATTATCGTTTCCCAATCCGAAAATTTTGTATTGATGAAATTAGTCCTAAAAATTAAAAAAAAAACACATTTTTTTTTCTTATGAAAAGATTTTATTAGATTTTTTTAATTTGCAACACCGTAAAAATAAAAAAAATAGAATCGCACAATATTTCATAATGAAATTAATTTATTAACAACAAAACTATAGCATTAAATTTGGAAACCCGTTTTTCAAAATCTCTTACTGAATATATTATCCAGTTAGCCGCACCGTAACTAATCTCCAGTGACTCACATTGATTGATTCTTAGAGCTTGTAAAAAATATTAAAAAGAACACTTACAAACAAATGCTGTTTGGATTCACTAATATTTTAAAAATAAGTTTTTTTTAATTCTGTACGTGGATACTTCATATATAACATCTAGATCTTACAATTTCTGACAACTTGAATTTTATGTCAAAAATGACGTTTACAGGTTTGAATATATGTATCAACTATTCCGACTGAAAACTTTTGTTATGTACAAATTTCTGTTTCAATTCACTGTAGTTGTTAAAAGTAAATAAATATAGGGCATAAATGATAACACCCCATTTTTATAATTTTGTCGCGTTCAACATTTAAAACAAAGGTATCTGTATAAGGTTGCCTAATTGAAGAAGTTGTAGTTTTACAACCAATGCTATAAATCATGCCCATCAACTAATTTTTTAAGACAAAAGTTATTTAAATTTTGTATAATTTCTTAAAAAATCAAAAACATTTAGAGATTTGCTGAAAAACATTCAGATGGACGAAAACCTACAAGAAACAGCGTTAACCATATATTAGGAAAATTTAAAAATTTTGGGGTTAATTTTTGTTAGTGGACTGTACATATTTCTAACTTACTTATTTGACTTTTACACCTAAAAGAACAGAGCTCTTCGGTATATATTTCTCGTCTTCGACGTATAGTCCCCGTCTGGCTTCCCCGCACAGCTGATCCAAATCAGCAGCGCCATGCGCAACACGGAACACGTGTATAACTGGTGGGCTAACCACTTGGCGTTAATTCGACCAATAAGAAAACAAATGCCCAACAACGAGGCCATTTTTTAAGAATCTCGTTTTTGGTATTATTAAGGTGTGGTATTTAAAATGAAAAAGTTGTTACTTATCCACAAACATCCTAATACATATATAATCGAAAAGTATAAGTGAATACAAATAACTTTTGTCTTAAAACGAACTTCTTGCTCTGCTCTAGTTACACCCAAAAATGAAGGTCATTTGACAAACAACCAAGGAAATACTATTATAATATAATGTTAACCATTCAAAAGTGTGTTAAGAACTGCATCGAGTCTTAATCATTCATTCTTGAATTTACTATTAGTTTAACAAATTTGGAATATACGGCAATAATCAAACTGACTGTAACAAAAAACTCCGACGGCTTGGTTATACAGTAACAAAAAAAAATTTGAAAACAGTGTAGGGTAGCGGTACCTACTCAGTTCCGTGCCACTGATGCCGATACGAATATCCCTGTCGAAAATGAAATAAAATTAGGGGCTAAATATAATTTCTGAACTTATCATCGCTTTGATTAAAGACTACATTTTATGCGTACGTCCAATTAAATGTAATAATGAGGTAAGAGCAGGGATATTAAATAGTTACGATTATATACCGTGATGCAAAGTGCGCGGATAAAAATAAAGTGCGCGAAGCCAAGGTGACTGAAACAAAAATACCCAACAAAAAGATAATTCCGCTGCTAACATTTTTCATTTAGGTATTTTCCACAGCTTGGGTACATAATACAAGCACGACTCAAATCTTATCACGGTCTCCAGCTTTACATGAACGGTAAATGCGATAAATAACGTGGTCCAATAAAAGCGTCGTTTAAAAAAAAAACATTTTCAAAAATAATGTTCGATGAAATAGGTGTGTTGGTATCGAACGACAGGTAAGATTTAATTATGTTTTCGATAAAACGATTAAAATAATATTGCTAAGACGATGACAGATACCCAATTGTATTTGTTGGTCTATAACGATATTTCATTTTATTCTTTCAATTCAATTCAAATTTTGGAATATCGAAAAAATATGCTATTATAGCTCCATAATTTTTTTTAATATTGCAGACAGGAAAAAAATGTTTGTCATAGTATATCATGTACAATCTTTAATGTTTCTATTCCGGATATGTCTGAAGAATTCATCAGGTGACTTTTTGTGCTTGAAATTTAAAAAATATACCATGTTATATTATATTGTTGTTATAGAAAGCTACTAATTATAAATAACTAACCTAACTTTCATTAATAACAAACATCGAATTTGTATAATTTCTTTGTTTTGAATATATGTTTTAATGACCGGAGCTCTCACATAACCTATGTAGGAGGGCGCATGATAACTGAACTAATTAGTATATGGCTGACATTGTTATTATTATTTATTTATTTATCTATTTAACACAGTAATTCCATCTCAAGAGTTATTATAAAAACTGTTATCCTTTGCAGCTTGATATGTTTTCATTTGTAAATATACATACAGCATTTTGCTCAACTGTTTTACCTTACGAAAGCTTGTAATGGCTGCCGCTAAGAGCATTAAAAAGTTGAATACCTTCCCTAAGCAAAGGCCGACTTTTTTTTAACAAAATAACGTCACAAATTACTCTTTTTTCGGACATTGCACTAATCTAAATCGATCTTGTATTGTATTATGTATTTATGTATTATTCCTGTTGTAGTTTGTCGGGATGTCCCAGATCAGACCGGGCGCAAATTCAGGCACACTCTCAAGAACTCAAGTGCCCCACTCCAGGGTGCGACGGTTCGGGACATGTAACGGGAAACTACTCATCTCACCGAAGCTTGTCCGGATGCCCGAGAGCTAATAAACCCAAAAGCAAACCCCGAGACGGACAGGATTCAGAACCACTCAGGTAATTCTTTTTACCAGATGAATTTGATGCAATTTGAAGAATAATAACCTCAAAAACGGATATAGGATGAAATTTCGAAAGCAGTTATTTCATATACAAACTAGATGAGCATAATAATTATGCGGCTGACAAAACCACACAACAAAAATGCCGTTTTCAAATATAAAATTTATGTATACAGTGTTTCCAAGATGATTGGGAGAAAAGTAGGGTTAATCAACAAGAATGTCATTTAAGGACACTTTTTTTTTAATTGTTAAGATTTTTAAAATATTATGGATCGATTGTAAATAAAAAAAAAAGTTAACTTAATAATACTAATCATCAAAAATATTTTATTATTACATTACATTATCAAAACCAACCAAATTTGTATCTGCGATCTTCTTCGGGATCTTGGAAACACTGTATACCCAAGTGAGAACAATAACTTCCGCCGTTACTTTTGATTACACTTTGCTTAAATATACATAAAGAAGTTCTTTGCATGGGTTTTGACGTTGAGGTGTTAATGATTTAGGAATATTTGTGTCCCACAGCAACTTGTGTTTAACCTGAATATCTCAAGCAACAGCAATGCTGATCGATTTTTGCAATAATCACACCTTTGCACTATCCGGAACCACTTATATCCCCGCCACTCTCCATTGCAAAACCTGCTTGTTTTGCCAAATGAGGAGCTGAGTGCTTTATGGCTTATAATTATTTACAATTATCTGGTCTTCTTAAGACATACTGGTATGTTGGAGCAAAGTGTGTATATTTCAATTAAGAAATATTTTACACATTTTAGAGAGGCATGTTGGTTAGGTTCTTAAAATTAATTGGTTTAGGATATTTTTGTGTGTAAATTTTGTTTCTTAATCACTTTTTTGATACTCGAGAACTTGAAGTCATCTCAAAGAGTATAAGTTCACACGGCCTTGCGATAATTTGATTACAAACTTATCAAGAGGGGTCTGCGCATTCATACACTGAAGCAATATTTAGGGCAATGCGTACAAAAATATAAAAATATGCCAGCGTTGTTATTGTAATTTAGAAGATTCAACGTATGGCTTTCATTTGATTCAAAAAAATTTGTGCACGCTATCAGATGCCCAATTCCGGGCTGTGACGGATCCGGACACGCCACTGGAAAATTTCTATCCCACAGAAGGTAAACGCCTATGTATAAATTCTTGTTAGTGTTCGAGTCAGATAACATTAATATATGAGTATTGTTTTTTTCTGATTAAGTTTTCCTTCGGATTTATGAATTATAGATAATTTCATGCAAATATCATTAATTTTATTAATTTTTTTTTATTCGTTAAAAAATGTTGGCATCAAAAGTAAAACCATCTGAATTAACAGAGAAATCTGGACTAATGGCAAAGTCAAGACAATGTCATCCTATTTACGAAGGCTATCTAGTAGAATCAATTTACAAAATGGGTATAATAAGATATAATCATTACAATATTCCCGGCTATAATTTACATATAATTAAGGTGTTTTAGAACCCGTAATGCAACAATTCGTATTTTTATTCAATAATATACACAGTAACAAACTCGTATATCTATGACAACCAATGTTTATTTGTCAAAAGCAAGAAATACTTAACAAGTTGTGGTAAATATAGTTGTTCTTTTCATTAGTGCATCGGGCTGTCCAATAGCTAACAGAAACAAGATGCGTGTACTTGAGAGTGGCGGTACAGTGGAACAACACAAAGCGGCGGTGGCGGCCGCTACGGCCATGAAATTCGAGGGAGTTAACTGTCCCACACCCGGATGCGACGGAACTGGACACATCAACGGTTCTTTTTTAACGCATCGATCCCTTAGCGGTTGTCCCGTAGCGGGCCAGACTGTCAAGAAGAGCAAATATCCAGAAGATATGCCGTTTTATGCTAAGGGATATACGGGTAAATTTATATTCCTTATATGTATGTATATGTTAAACCCCAAAAAGTCTTAAACGTATGTTTAGGAACTCTTTAATTTGAAATAATAGTTTAACAGTTTTAGTTAGTAGTTACCGAAAACATGAGAAATATTAAAAATCAACCACTTCTTACTGCTATCATATATAGATAATATAATAGAAAATTTAGTTACTAGGTTACCAGAAAGTTACAAAGTTCTATTATACTTGCAGTCAGCAGTTTTGGTATTTGTTACAAAAATCTTTTTTAAATTAAATATAAGTCATCATCTCAAAAAATTATCATTATTGACATGCATTTTTGATGTAGAACTAAGAAAAGGGTCAAAAAATATTTTAAAGTATGTAATTTTGAACAATGAAAAAAATGATAAAACACCACACAACCAAATTTTATTTTAGGTTTTTCGTGTAATCACAGAGTTGGAACATTCTCTTTGCCTCCTTTAAGTTAAACATGGAGTAAAATAGGTATAAGCGATTGTTATCAACATTTTTTATACCATAGGATTAATAGAGACATAAAGTAAATTGTTATGCTGAATTTGGTTTTTATTTTTTGTATTATATTTGGTTTATTTTTATTTAAAATCGCGAGATAACACAAATAACTATAACTTCGAGTTTCATACAGTAGCGTAGCGTAGAGAGAGCAATGCTTTTTAATCTGTAGGTACTAATTATTATTTATAAAAAATTGTGCATGATCTGAAACTTCAAACAGGAATCATCCATATAAAATTAAGTTATATCTAACGGTTTTATAAACTTCTCTAATATTAGACATTGATAATTTATGCTTATCGGTAAATATGCCAAGACAGATTTCCTATAATAAGTTTGTTTACAGAAAAACAATTTAATCTCTCACTAGGGTTGATAAACAACAAGAAATAACAGCTCTATCGACTTGCCCGAAGAATGTTGAAATAGTTTTGATAAATATTACTGAACTTAACGATGAACTGAAAAGTTTTTCTAGAAGATTATCTTTCCGTGCTATATGAATGAGATTATACAACTGACAATAATTTACAATTATAATCAACTATTCTTAATAACAATGGTCAGTATTTTCAGAAACAAAGGTACTTTTTTACTTTTGTATAAATTTCATATTTCTGGTAAACCTTGTATATACGCCGCAACAAGTTTTGTACGTCATGGTTTTGGACCATGTCAACTTTATATAAAGAATAACTTTTTAGCACCCGTAGATTTTTATGGAATTATTCAAACATTCTTTAAGGCCATAAATTTAGAATTTGTCCCAAGCACAGCTGAAATCCGAGCTACGCCACTGGGTACAATTTGCTCAATACAAAGAATTAACAATGCTTCAAAATTGCAACATTTATTGAGTTAATATCGACACTTTAAACTTCGCTTCTCAGGGATGGAACAAAATCCAAACGGCGGCGAAGATTTAATGACTTTGGAGGCGGAAATCTCGGAACTGCAGCGGGAAAATGCGCGAGTCGAATCTCAGATGCTCAAATTGAAGTCTGACATTAACGCGATGGAAAATCACCTAACACACGGCGAAAAGGTAAAGACGAATTTCTAGCATGGAACAATAAACATAATACGAAGGACTCAAGACTGGTAATGCACCTAACTTGTAGTTTCATATACAGCGTTATCGTAAAAAAGCAATCGGACTACACTAAAAATATTCCCCACCAGGAAACGCAAGCGCTCACCCAAAGGAGCAACAATTTGAACGAATACTACGAAAGTCTAAGGAACAACGTCATCACTTTGCTGGAACACGTGCGGCTACCAGGTGGCGCTGCGCCACCCGAAAAAATCGGTCAGGAAAATTTCGATTCGTACCTAACCAAACTACAAACTCTGTGCACACCGGAAGGGTATTGTAGTGACGAAAACAGGCCGTTGTACGAAACGGTAAAATGCGCGTTACAAGACTTTACCGTGTTACCCACACCTATTTAATGTGCGTGGCCCTTCAAACCAAAACATTCCTAGGAAGACGTCCCTTTAGATTTTAAAAGCGTTGGGACATGTGATAACCGATATATAAAAGTCTATGCCCAGCATAACACACACAGTATTATTGGTCAGGACATGTTGAATCATTCGAATTATATACAGGGTGATACAAGAATGTGGTGAGCACAATATGTCCCTTATTTATCACAATTTAAAAAAAATCAATTAATGCAACATAACAACAAAAGATAGGAAATATTTTTAAAAACTTGTTTCTCTATGATATTCTACTATCTTTCGATATGCTACTTACCTTGATATAGTCAAACACATTAGTCATAGGACAGTATAGAAAAACATATTTTCTGTTTTTCGTATTAACTCAGCAAAGTCGCATTAAAATTCAAAAATATTCGCGGTGTCATATAAGTATGTCTTGCAGGAACCTTAATGTGTGTAAATCTTATTCTTTTATGATACACCAGGTATAATTATGTTTAATATATATTGAACATATATTACTTTTCCGCACCACTGCACTACCCTGTATAATTAACAAACTTCAATGGCTTTCATTTACATTTCGGAAATTCAAAATTCGGTACACAAATGTTGAGAACGTATTTTTCAATGAAAACTGAGCTACAATTACACTATTTTTTACAGTTTATTAATTTTTGTTAACCTAATAAAAATTAATGAAGGAGCTGTCGCAGCAAATAAAAAAAAACTACAAACATACACACACATTGTAAACATTTTCGAATTTTTTAAAATAATTTATATCGAAAATAATATTTTTAACTGAAAATAACAATTTTGCACTGAAGTTTTAAATAAGACTGGACAATTTACAATGACGCTTTTACGCAAAATAAAGTTCAATCTGGCCCTCCGTGAATCAGGTTAACACATGTCTTGCACTTACATTTTCTTCGTATATAATTAAGGGCTAAATGTTACCCATAAGAAAACATTTGTACGTAATGTTAAATTGTGATCTCTGTATATAGTAGAGGTAAAATATTGTATAGTAAAACCGCCTCAATAAATATTAATTGTAAATAGAAACGAAACTGTAAATAACCCTTTAGGTTGTACTTACTGTATAAAACCTTATTTAGCTGTTCGTTTCGTTACCTTCCTTATTGTTATTATTTATTAGCTGTATAAATTGTAAAATTTTTTGATTAATTATAGTTTATATTTTAATAATACGGCTTTAACCGCATGGCTCTACGACTTTACGACAAACGTTTGATGAATACAATGACGTTGTCGTTACTTTAGCGAGGGAAAGTTGTGAGGAATCTACAATTACTAGAAACCGCTGTAATGTTACGAATTTTGTTTTTTGTTACGTTTACGTTAAAAGTTAAACATTTTTTTCACGACGTGCTAGGGCATTTTTTTAGATAATCTGTGATTATGTATACCTAGAGTAGGTAGTCTTATTATCATTATTAGAGTTGTTTACGAAAATTAGATGATTCAGAAATGTGCAAGGTATTTAAAATAATATACTCACATGGTGTTCAAATGGCAAAAATATGTTTCTGTTAACTTTTACGATTGTTTCAACGCGTTTTATCGTTTTCCCCTTCGACAGGAAATGTTTTTACCCGTGCTATTTAATCTTACTGTTGTGTCTGTAAATAAAACAAAATGTACGCGGACTCTCAATTCCTAAAGTAATTATTTGTTCACCAAATATATATGTTAAATACATGTGTTGTTATTATGAATAAAGTAACTCAAATGCCTTTTTAGTGTTTCTTTTATCATTGGGTATAAAAATAGTTAGTGTTGGGGCTGGTCAATTGACCACTTCTTAATTGACTAGTCAAAAAATGTTTTAAATAACATCTTGCAATTCTAGAGTCTTATCTATTATTATTTAATAAAAATATGTGTTTTATAATAAATTATTACGCGTTAGTGAAGTCCAATTTACCTCTTCAAGGAATATCCAAATACGATACTCAGCGATTTAATAATAATATCGACTCCATTTGGTTCCCAGAACGACACGACGGCGACGTAACGCACAATGTAAATAAATAAATATAAATTTCACGACATTTTTAAAATTATTTCGGTCAATTGACGCAAAAAAAAAATTGACCGGTCAATTCCACAACCTTAAAAATGGTAATTACCAATAGTCCGTCCGAATAAAAAAAGGACAACAGTGACACACTTTATTTAAGTAACAAAAACAAGAATTGGAATGTGCAATAAATTAGTAATAAGTTAAGAAAATTTGCTAATCTCGTGACTAATGGGTTCATCAATCGCTTTGTGGAATTAAACTGTTCTTCGCCGGTTCCAAAAACTCCTCACAAATTGCGGTCACCGTTTCTCTGAGAGTTTTCTCGATAACAGATTGATCACTAAAATCAAATAAATATACATTGTAGAAACAACCTAGTTTTAATTTTAATTAAATCAAATGAAATCTATTTTAATTCCAGCCAATTTTTGAAAGTTATCAATTTAATCGACTGGTAAGTCCGGTAAAGTTGAATCAAGTACAACAACCCAAAAATAGTCTATGCCAATAAGTCTGATCGCTACGTCATCAAGCTAAACGCTATCGGCGTTTACAAACGTCAGATCTCGTTAACAACAAAATAGGCGGGGTTCATTTTCTATGTTTTTCGATTTAATTTTTATTTTATTAATTATAAAATCCGGATCAAATAAACTTTTAAATATGGCCGACGAAGCTTGTCATTTTCCAGTGACTTTCATTTCGCAAATGTTCGATCTTTCTTGAACATTTAGATAGATAAACTGCGGATTTTAATTGACTATAAATCAAACTGAAACGGTTAAAAAGTACAAATTTCTCTATTATTATCTATGACGTCTTAATCTAATTCATACCAACTGAAAAATTAATTAATAAAGCAAATTACTTAATTATCTAAACGAGGGTGGGATTTTTTTAAAAATCTTTAAAAAATTCAAATTAAAAAAATTAACTACACAATTTTAGAATTTGCTTACGTCACGTCGGGGCTGCTACACAACTCCGTGTAATATTTAATTTTTGGTTCTGTCCCGCTCGTTCTTAAAGTACAGTGCAGACCATTGTCGAACACAAAAGTGATCATCTGAGCGCTACATGAGACCGGCAAAATTGCCCTGTTCCCGGGTTGTGTGTTGTCGTAACCTGTCGTTAAATCCCTTATGGAGATGATTTTATATCGATTGTGCAAGACACCACCGGGATACTGCGACAGAAAAAAATAACCAAAACTAATCAAATCCTTCAATTTAAAATGCTTCAGGGTAAGGTTAAGTCCTTTATAATAGAATCGACCAGTTCAAATACCAATTCTGGCGACAGAACTCGTCAACGTTATTAATCTGGTTCCTGTGTTGGAACCTGTACGTCAGAGAACAGTCTTGTAATAGCCATCCAACTACCAACACATCAAAATTAAAATCTGGCGTCAAAATGTCAAAACAAGTGTGTTATCACAATTTTGCAACGACATCTATAGATAGTTCGAGATGGAGGCTACTGCAAACATAGGCTAGAGTAGTAAAGAGAGAAAATACCATTCACTCTCGGCTGGGTTCGACTGCTGTGGTCAGACCAACACGTAATAAAAAAACTATTCCAACATTTGTTCTGATCGTGCCAAGAAGGACTGATAACAGAAAAACGGCTACCACCATCCGGGCCAATCCGGCCTTCAACCGGCGTGGATGACCAAAAACACACTTTCAAACTTTCACTAAACACTTAGGAAATGAAAACCACACAGTTGAAACCGATATCAACATTTTTCTGACCATTCAAACATTAAAAAAATATGTTTTCAACAAAATGTAACATTCACTGAGCACTAATGGGAGGAAACAGTTGGGACTTACAGTATCTTTACAGCCGTCCCAGTTTCTAATGCGTTCGAAAATTCTCCTGATTATAGCAGGATTGTCGCAGAAATAGTAAGAGTTTAAGGACTTATGGTAACCATATTTTGAGTAGATTTCCTCCAATTTGTCGACTATTTGCTGTCCCTTGCTATAAATGTACGATGCACAACACGCGAAATGTGCGGATGCGGAAATTCCATCTTTGTCGACGATTTTGGGATCGCACATAAACCCTATAGCTTCTTCGAATCCGAATATCACTTTCTTGCCCGTTGCTTCTAGATCTAGGACCTTATTCCCTACCAAAAAATAGAACTCGTTTTAAACTTCACAACTTAAATATTCAAACCACTTGTTTAGGGCATTTAACAATAAATATTGATCTTAATATATACCGGGTGACAAAATAAAGTGGGATCACTATAACTTTTAAACGGCTTGAGTTAGCGATTTCAAATTTCGAAGGGTTAATATAGCCTGAATATTCAATTTTTTTGACAATTGGCAGAACCTATATTTTTTGCATTTTTGAGTACGTATACATACTATACTTACGCTAGTTTTTGACTGTATGCTCGTATTCCACAAAAACATCAGCTTTTTACCATAATAAAACGCTTTCAACAAAAAATTCTAATCTTTGAATCCCAGAAGAAACTGTCCTTTGCATTTTTTTTTTTAATACTAATCTGTTTTTTCTTTCCACTGCATGAGCGAGAGTTTCTTCTGAATTTTTAATCTTATGGACTTGACAATTAATAATGACTAGAAGCAAAGCCACCTAAATAATATTTTGTTTCTACAAAAATGTATTTACTTTTCTGGTTTTTTCCTTCCTGTAAGCTTATTTTTTAACGAATTTTGAAAATTTTAGTGTTAAAATGTTGCAAAAAAATGTACCGGTTTTAAAGAGTTTTTAATTCCACTAGAATGTTATTTAAAAAGACTAGGTTATCCAAAAAAATTAATAGTTCATTACATTAAATGCTATTTGCCATTAGACAAGTAAAGAAAAATTTTTTCCATTATCAGGTGACCCGATAAATAATATTTATGATGGCCACAGTCTTCTAGACACAATTTTTAAAAATTAAATAAAAATTTAAAACAACAAAAAAAATGAGAAAAGCCGTCCCATCCTCCTGAATCCAGAAATGCAAAAAAAATTACTGTCGTTTCCGCTCAAACCGGGAGTACAACCATTGACTATGTATTGTCACAAAATTGGACTTTCACTTACCGTTCCAAATTTCAAATCGCTATCTCAAGCCGTTTAAAAGTTATAGAGTATCACCAGGTGTAATATGTTATAAAATATATATTTTTCTGGAAACCAAGTCAAAATTTCTAACTAAGTCAGAATTTCTCAAAAACAAGTCAGAATTGTTAACTTCTGCTACAATACGATTCTTTTTCGGGAACTGACCAACCACAAAAGAAAAGCACTAATTGACAAATTAATGAAAACCAACCAGAACTGGATATCCTTTTGCATAGTAATCTATATCTTATTGTTACTTACATTCTAACTTTTACTCAGAATCCTGACTCTTTTTCAATAATTCTAACTGAAGTCAGCAGCTTGATTTATTTGCAATTTTTGTCAGAAATGTTTAACTTAACAAATTCTAAAAAATTCAAAAGCATTTTTTTATTTCTTGTGGTCCTCCGAAGCTATTAAATGGAAAACTAAGTAAAACATTTTTCAAAGGTTTTCTATAATAATATTCTGATGCTGCCAAGATATTATAGCAAAATAAGTGCAAAAAAGTCTCGTTTTCAAAACTATAATGCTTGCATCGACTAGCCCTAAAATTTGGCAACTATTTGACGTTCCTAACGACATCTGATATCAAAGTAAAGGAGAGATTTAAGAGAAATGTCAAGTAATGGTCAATTTTTATTAATAGAAGATAGAATCATGATAATAGAACATAGTCCGAAAACAAGGCTTCAAAGCAGATTCTTCTCGTAATAATTCGAAATTTCTCTAAAAGTCATCTGAGGTCAAAGGTAAAGTAACTCACCAATCCACTTAAACCCAGTAAGGGTGTCAACGAAATTAAACCCTTCCGCCTTGGCCATCGTTTTCAGAATCATTGAGCTAACGGTACTCGAGATCATAAAAGTGTTGCTCAGTTTCTCTTCCGGATATTTCTTCTGAAAACAGTATAACAACCAGTACCCGAATATCGCGCCGAGTTCGTTCCCGCTAAAAATTTTCCACTCCCCGGTCCTGCAAACAATTCAAATTTGAAATTTGGAAGACACGTACCCGAGCTTGCGAACCTCGAATTCTTCTCGGCAACAGCAAATCTATCGGCATCGGGATCGTGCGCAAAAATTAAAGGCGATTTATTTGCTTCCGCTGTCCTGATTGCCAAGTCCAGACTACTTTTACCTTCCTCGGGATTCGGGAACCTAGAAATCAGAAAAAATAAATTAAAATTAAAAAAAAACATGAAGGATCTGGGGAGTGACAATGATTTTTAAACCATCTGTTTCTCCACTTAAGGTGGAGGAGACAAGTGATTCCGACTAATGTACCCATTTGTTTATTCCACTAAATCAATATACTAAAACCTTTGTTGTGTTTTAATACATAGTGTAAGTACAAATCGCAACTCCCTAGAAGAAAATCAAATTGACAAAAACAAAATGAGCGCCGAATTGACAAAATGACGTGCTTAAACTGGGTTATAAAAACCCGATAGTCTGGAATCGTGTTAAAATGAAAAGCATAGAATAGAAACTGATTAGAAATATTGAAAATATATTTAGAAATTAACTAAAACTTTTAAACGTAAACGAATTAATATTAGGTACCTAAAGCAAATGATTGTATTTATAGGGGTATATTGATATACTTCAACTGCACTTAATCGTTTTTGTTGTACATATTTTTATGTTATAGAGTTAATAAATAACTTATTATTATTCTTAATTAAATAATTTATAGTTATTTAATAATATAATAAAATCCATACTTCACTGTTGGAAAGTCGGGGTGAGGATCTCTCTGCTCTGGAACTGGAGTAATCGTGGCTCCAATAAAGTCGAATATAACCTGAGTGATTTTGTATCCAACTCCGTGCATCGCGGTATACACAATTTTTAGTCCAGTCTGCTTATTGAGAGCTCTGTGCTCCGCCAAGATTTCATCCTCTATGATCAACTTGCGATAAGCTTCCTCTACGTCCTGTTGAGGATCGGTTAACAGTTTGTTGTCTTTTAAAACATGCGTGTCCCACGAAGACGCGAGGGGTTTAAGATTTTGCAGAATAGATTTCTGGATTTCTTTGTCGACCGGTCCGATAATTTGCGCACCGTTTGAATCGTATACCTAAAATTTCTGGAAATTAGTACTTTTAAAGATTTTTTAATTTAAAACACCTTATATCCGTTATCGTCTTTTGGATTGTGTGATGCAGTCACGACCACTCCACTAGCACATTTATATCTGCGTACAGCAAATGGGATCAAAGGTGTGGGACAAACATCGCCGAAAAGCTTTACGGGAAATCCAGCTTGCACAAAGACAGTAGCAGTTATCTCGGCCCATCTAAAACCAGTCTTTTCCACACACTAGCAGCATACTGAATATAACATAATAATACAGTATAGTACTGTAGTAATATACTATGCAAAGTATCTGTTTATTATTACAAAGTATTTTATATTTAACTCTCGACATTAATATAGCGTGTTAGAGCCGGCATAAGTAAAGTTGGGGTCATATGGAACGGAACTGTTTGGGTTTAATCTTAATGTTGAAGTCAAAAGTTTTTTCAGGGTATTTCATTTTTCGCGGACCATGATTTTTGGATTTTTGCATTTGGAGAAATTGAAAATATTTTTATAAACTTGTGTATAGGCTCTTAATTTTCAATTAATTGAACAAAAACAAAATCAAAAATTGAAGGAAGGAAGGAGGAAGTCCATTTTAGAGCTGCATAAAGTTTGTTTCATAATAAGGTTTAGTACTAGCTGTAAAAACCGCAATCAACGTTATTTTTACATGTTGGATAGGGTAACTGTTTAAAAAGTTATAATTTTCATTTATAATTTCAATGTCACAATATATTTTAAACTTTAGTTAAAAAAAGACCCTACTGAAATGGACTGGACCAACTATGTTTATTTATATTCAATACCAAATGGAGTCGATATTATTATTGGGATTCCCCGAATCGCTAAGTATCGTATTCGGATATTTGATTATAAAATACATATTATTATTAAATAATGATAGATAACACTCTACAATTGCAAGATGTAATGGAAAACATTTTTTGACTACTCAATTGACTTTCAATTGACCAGTCCCAACACTAATCAACTGAGACAAATTTTTGTTTTTTTTTTTTAAGAAGGGTTTAAAGAAAGTATTTTTTATTAATTAACCATATCCAAAAATATTTATCCACAATACACTCAAGCCCGTGCCCTTTGATGATTGCCCTATACACAAAATAACGAGTTTCGTTTCCTAATTCATCGTCCAATCTAACGGTTTCTTAAAGAATAATTTATTCAATGGATTGAACACAATGTGCTTTTTTTACAGTTCCAATATATAATCTTACCTCTTGCTATTATATCTCCCGTCATATCCAATAATAATACCGTTCTCATCCAACAATTCCCTTCTCGCCACTTCTAAGAACTTTAGAAAGCCTTGAGCTGTTTGGATTATAACCAAATCATTCATGCAAGAGTAGCCGACATCCATGAGACCCCTCAAACCAGCAGTGCCAAATGAAAGTCTTGATAATAATTTCTTCTGTAACGCTTCGACATTATTTTCGTCCACCAGTTTTTGAAGTTTAGCGCGGGTTTCTTCGTTCTTATCCCAATCGAGCCATTCATCGATTTTAGATTTGAGTTGTGCGTCACAATTCGAGACCATGATTTTGGCTTTATCTAATTAAGAAGTGGAATTTTTCATTAAAAATGCTTTTGACGGAAATTGGTGTCATTTCCAACAAAACATTTAGTACCGCCTTACAAGAAAATACCAAAAATTTTATTAGTAACAATACGTTTTTAGATTTTGCAAAAAAAAAGTATGATTTTGTTGAAGTTAACTTATAAAATTATTGAAAATAAACCTAATCACCTAAATTAATGTTTATTTCAGGATAAACATATAAATGTGGTTACAAAAATAAAATAATATACAGAGGTTGGTATTTAATACCCGTAAGCCACATTATACCTACTCGCAAAATTATTTTAGTATACTTACGGTTGCGTTGAAAGAAATGGCAAATCGCGACCGAATGAACTGAATGTCTGTCATTATTTTAGCCGTTCATTAATTACAAAAGAAGAAAAAATAGTAAAACTGATTTTACCTGTAGTCATTTTACAAGGAAATTTTCATATTTCTAATTAGACAAAATATAACATCTGTATGTTCCACTGGTTGTAGAACAACTTAACTATTTTTCGCTCTTGGGGGCAACTGGAATATGTTAAAGGCCAACACGATAACCGAAATTGCAACATGATTTACGTTGAGGGCAAAATTATGACGCAATGTATCAATTTTATCAAATAAAAATTGAATTGCAATTGTTACATTTATAAAAGTAAACGCAGATAAAGATTTTGCAACCGTATCTTCTGTAATTCTGTTGATTGTACAAGGGGATAATTTTACGAATTATTATTCTATAAAAGTTCAGAAAATCAGAGGCGTGTCATTACCTTAAGAATACGTCTGCATCGATGGGTAATACTCATAACAATTAAAAACAAATTGCTGAAACATTTGATTTTTTTACAAAACAACAAAGTCTATAGGAAACATTGCGTTGAGAGACGTAGTACGTCACATATCTCCATTTACCATCGACTGGAAGCTGTTTACTGTCCTTGAATCCGGCGTTTACAAATGGCAAAATTGAGAAATGTGGTCTATTATAATAACGAGTTATCGCCAGCGTGCATTTGCATTAGATTTGCTAGTTTTTGGTTATTCAATTCTAGTCAAGAATTCTGTTTAGTAATTCTTGGTTAGTTTTTTGTTGAAATATTAGCGGTAGAGAATGAAAACATTGAAATAAAATCTTGACATTCAAGCCGATTCAAAAGTCAAATCCTGCTTACTTGGCAACATCGCAAAATAAGAGAATATATTTTGGTAGGTCAACCAAAAATTTGTGATTATTTTTTAACCTCAACTATTTAGAGAAACAAAATTTTCATTTATTAAAACCAAAATTGAATATTAAATCACCCGTTAAACTATGGTACGACTTAAACACCGGTATGTGCACACAATTTTCTAATTATTTGTTAATATCTAATCATTTTCATGCTACTTTAGTTATATAGTGATTGAAGTAAATGAAAAGGGAAAAGATGAAAAACCCCTGCGATTAACAGACGCGTCGTTGTACACAGCACTACAACAAAAAATTCAACAATTACACGGAGATTTCGGAATTGCAGCAACAAAAGCTGGATTTCAAGCAAAATACTGCAATGAACATACAAGAATTGCAATAATCAGAACTCGCCGAGGGCCTCATAAATTGGTTGCTAGTTCGTTGCCATGTGTAACAAAAGTCGAGTCTAGATTTGTTAGAATTAATATATTGTATATTGGAGCAACAATAAGAAAATGTTTTCATTTTATTAAGATATACCAACAACACAAGTTTGATGAACTTTGCTCGAAATTGAAGACACAGGAAGAAAAAATAGCCCTCACAGATGTAATATTTGATTTTGAATCCGCTTTAAAATCTCTAAAATAAATGGGAAAGGGTAACTTTATTTATGGTTGTTTAACTAACTTTATACCTCTTTAACACTAATTAGAAAATACAAAATATAATAGCATCACATAAGCAATATTACCACTAACCAATATTAGTCTACCAAATACTTACAATATTTATACACAGAAGACAGATGAATTATGAAGGGTTTGTGTTAAGCGCCAGTAATGCGAGTATGGTAAGTTGCAGAATTAAATACGTTACATTACCTTACTATATGCAACCCAATTTTACTAGCGTCAATATGGTTGGTCCGACTTTTAAATAAACTTTGGTTAGGTTCAATGAATTATAAGTGTAGCACAAGGCCGGTAAACTAAAGTAAAAAGAACCACATGGCGGACGTTTGTTCTAGCCCGTTTCCAAAAAAGTTGGAAATAGGTTAAAGAATTATGTCGTTTGAAAAAATTTTATTCAATACATCTTTAATTTGAATTGTTAGAGGCGTCGTTCCTATAGTTTCGTGAATTAGTTGTTTTGTGTGAATATCTATGGATTTGTATGCTGTATTGCTCGGTTTCCGGATTTCTTGTATTCACGCTGGTATCCAGCTCAGATGGGATCGGATATCCCGTATGAGATAATTGCTGGAGTCGTTAGATGAATCTGCCGTCATTTTATATATGTTATAACACCTAGAGGATGATAGGCTTTCCAGACCCTTTATTTATGAAGGCATCCTTTAGAAATTTTGAATTACAGTTACCTATTGTAAGCTGGCCAAGTGGTCTTATGTAGTCGTAGCCATTAGAAGTAATTAACAATCAAAACTGAAAGATTGATGTGAAACAATTTTTATTTCAATTGGCTATAGGAATTTGTGAATGTTCTTAGTGGCCTTCATGGTCCAACTTAATTTACCGACTTACTTAACAACTTAACTTATTGACCTTTTTTGGCATTACGTAAATCAGCAAATTATATTTTACTCAATATATTAAAAAAATATATTTTAATTACCAGTATATACCCTACATAACAAAAATTTAATAAATCTTACTTAATAACATATACTGCTAATGTTTCCTAAAACCAATAACAAAGGTACTGAAAAACTTCTTAACCCTTTATAACAAAGGAATAATAACATTAACGTTTATTATTTCACTTTTGAACTAACCAATTATTTCCTACAAATGTGCACCAAAATATTGCTTTGTAAATATCTTTTTTAGTTCGAAAACAAATATATCCTGATGAATGGTTATGATGAAAATGCAAATTATTTAAGAACTTCAGCATAATCATACAAAAGGTAATTTGAATTCATCTTTGTACTAACACTAAGTTAAATATGTAACATTAAAAATAGGAGAATACCTTTAAAAATCACAGTTACAAATATGTAACTTAATTTCAAAATTGACAAAATAACAATACTGCAAATCCAACTAATTGTGACTATAAAAAAAATAAATGAGTACAAATTTCTGTTATCAAGACCTAGTTGAAATAGAGGTTCTTAATCAAAATATACATCAACACAGACTTAGAGACACAATTTATCAATATTTCCTCTAACTGTTTCTATTGAAATTAGGTCAATTAATATACCAAAGGCATCAACATCGGCAGTTCTGATCCAAAATTCTCTTACAAAGTACTGATTTATATAATTTGGATTAAAGAATTGGGCTTGTTCACAGACTTCCACAGGTTTTTTCCAAATAGCATCCAAAATTGCTCCCAATGATCTGTTCCTATGATTACAGTCCAACAGATCATCCACATATTTAACATTGATGTACAACTTGTTAAGAGTCTCCATCTCTTCAGAAAATAAAAATGTCGTCTGGCTTGGCAACACCAGCATGGACTTGGGTTTCACCAAATTAGTTATTATATCCAATATTTTTGCTTTTATTTCTTTTACTTGAAAAGGATCATTGTTATCCCAATATTCTAATGGTTCTAGCCAATAGTTTTGAGGCAGACTCTAAAAATAACAGTTTGGTTAATAAAAAATATATATATTTGTTTTTTCAAAAACATACCCCGATTTCAGAAATACATAATATTGGACTACATCGGTGACTTTGTGAGCCGGCTTTTTGAAGGAAAATGGGGTAAATGTCAACAAGAACTACCACACCTTCACCTCCCAAAGTCATGAGTGTAGGGTAATGTAAAGTTACAGCTTTTCTTACAAATCTGGATGCCCGGTTATAAAGTGTACCCACAGTTTCTATATCTAAACCTTAAGCAGAAAAATTAGTAGATGAATATTATCATTACTATTAATGAGGATGCAATACTAAGAAAAATAATCTACAAACATCAGACAAAACAAAGAAAATGCTATAAATAACACTTTTTACCTTTTCCTTATCCAAAAGACTATTGGCAGCACAAACATAAATCATTACTACTATACAATAATATCAGTAACATTTTATTCTATTAATATGGCCAGCAATAACATTTTTTTCTAGAATAAAGTTCACTTTGAAGGCTATAGTATTTTGCAATATATTATTTTATAAGAACCTTATATAAAACTAAGTTTTGTTGAGTAGTTGATAAGTTGATCTTACCAAGAATATTTGCCATTAAATCTAGATCAATTCCTTTAACCCATCCATATAGTATCCTTATTGCGCTTCTAATATTGCACTGAAGTCCATAAAATATTGAGTGTTTTCTAAGGGATTCCTTGTTGTCACAATTGGAACATTTTAATTGGTATAAATCATTTAACCCATCAGCAAAAATCAAGGCCAAGGGCGATTCACATTTGGGATCTTTTTGGGCATTTGGACATCTTGCACTGAGAGGCAGTAAATTATATTCTATAGCCCATTCCATAAACAAATTGCTGCTGTCCATTAATTTCGGGAGAATTTTTTCTTGATATTCATTAGATAATCCACCAGTATCCCTACAATGTAAGACTGATTGGAGACTCCCACGAAAGGCAACAAATAATGAGTAAACGTGGTTTTACCTGTCGAATGCCCTTAATGTGTGCTTCTTTTTCTTGTCCATTTTAACATCTTCCTCGTAATACAAATACTTAGCATCTCTAAATTCTGCTTCGTTATCTGAAGACGTAGTGAACATGTCTTCGTCTTCGGACTCAAGCATTTTAATATCGCGAGTTTGAACAATAAATTAGTCTTCAAATTTTAAAAGAAGCAACTAGTTACTTCTTGGATCACATTTCGTCTGGGCATCTGCACACTACGCAACCGCATATTGATCGACTCTAAATTTTTAAGATATTGTCAAATTTATCTGAAGCCGGTATTGCAGCAGGTAAGAAAACTCTCTGAAATTGCTTTTTGGTAAAGTTTCCGCACGCCAGATGTCACCGGCTGTTGGAGCGAACCATTATATTCATATTGTGCAAATTTAAGGAGGATCGATTATTTTTGGTTCCTATTAATTTCGTTTCTAAATGTGGACAATCAGATTTAATAACAAACACATCTGGTATTACTAGTCAATGCCATAAAGGGTTGAAAATATAACAATATAGATATTGAATAGCAATAGGCCATGGAATGGGTTAACAAAAAAATTATTGTTAAAGATAATAGTCGTCAGCCGTAAAACGAACTAAACATTTTCTCCTTTTACTTTTCGATTTTCCTCTAATCAAAAATTCTCCCCCTTTGAAACGTCACTGAAAATCGCCAGCCCTAATGTCCCCTACTATGAAGACGGAAACTCGAGCGGCACGAACACCGGCTGTATTTTGTTGTCGACACTGCGGCTGACGCCGAGAGTCAGTTCAAAATAATAACACGCTGCAAATCGTTTACGAACGAATTTTTTTATTTTTGTTTTTTGCGGCAATCCACATTTGCGTTATTCGGTTTGATCAATTTTAAGTAGTGTTAAAAATAATGCAATAACCGTAGAGACTGACGAAAAGTGCGCGGAATGTGATTCGGTGAATGTGATATAAACATCCCTTCGTTTAGGCCTTATCATCGATATTTTCCGTAAGTTATTTTCATAGTTGCAATTATAATTCCATGCGAATTAGATATACAGCATGGATGGAACTAATCATAGGCAGGTAAAGGTTAGATTGTGTTATGTACATTGTAAAATTCTCTGCACGAATCAATTTTGACCGGGTTAGCCGAATTTGCTTCAAGGCTGCATCCAGAGATTTCAGATAAACCATTTGTGCTTTTTTGTTAGAAATGACTTTTTTTTTTCTAATATACTTACATATGTCTCAATTTAAAAATGACGAAGGGCCTGCCACAATTGAAAATCAGTACACCTCAGCAATAACGTGTATGTAGACACCTATAAAAAGTTTATTACAGGTCATTTGTACTTACAAATCGTTCATTTAAAATTATTGAAAACATATTAAATAAATTTTAGAACATCTTGAATTAGCAATTTAATATTTGTATATTAAATTATGTATGTATGTATTTCATAACAACCACTTCAAAATTATCCCGAGCCGTCTTTTTCTCAATAAACAGAGAATTTAGTGTTATGCACCATTTTTTTAATTTGGTACTATTGCAAACTAAATAGCAACCTAATAGATCTCTTGAAAATTTTGGATGGCGCAAGAATTAATTTATAATGTCCCAGAATTAGACAAAATTTTACAGAGAAATGTCCATAGATATATACCGTCTTTGGAAATACTTTAATATTATATATTTTTCGTCCAACGTCCTATTTACAATATATGTGGTGATTACAAAGGATATAACTAAAGATATTACGATTAAGACCCTATACAATGTAAACTTCGTAAAATATACGTTCTTATTACCACCACCAATAATTTTTCGGTAACTCATTACTTATCTTATAAACATTGTTAAACCATCTTATAAACATTGTTAAACCAAAAAATACAATTCGGTCGAGGAAGTAATTTGTATGTTGTCGGTGAATCTTTTATCTGTGTTTCGCCCGAAGCTCCGTGTGAGAAGACCAGATCACCTTGAAAGGTCGACAGCAAAATAACGTCTTGTTAGTTCCATAAAAAAGACAAATGGTCTCTTAAGTGTTAAGACCGTTATTGAATGAAGCACGGAGATGGACATCCTTGTCACCTGGAACTCAAATGCATTTTAGAAGTTTTTGTCGACGTATTTTTTTGCGTTAGTTGGATATAAACTTTAAATTATACGTAATATACCTATTTCGATTTTTTTGTCATTTCTAGTATTTAGTGCTTTTCAGTTCAATTTTTGTACCCACCTAGGCTTGTGACGACCGGTTTCATAAAACACGAAAATACCAGACAAAATACGAAATAGATCATATTTTGACTTACATTTCAAAAACTCTGGTAATGGCAGTGGCAGGACCACAGTGTCTGTTAATATTGTCAAAATTTTAACATGTTCCAAACTAATCTTCTTCTTCTGAGACTTGTTTCCTTCCAACTTATAATACCCTCTATTTCGACCTTCATAATAAGTTGAATAATATGAAGGACATGTGCCAGATATAACAACTGACACATTTGTTTGCATAGCTGCCCATGATATTTGGAGCATTCCTCAATGCAACGACATTTTGATCGTCTTCAGATTGATCGTGGCAGCCCTAAGGCCGCAACATTGACGATATGTATGTAGCACTTTTCCATTCTTTTGAGAATTATCAGGAATATTGTGTGCATTCATTTATAGAGGCCAAATACGACATTTATGTTTTTCCCCATTTCCATTCATGTCAGGTTAACCGAGCTCAAAAGATGTTGGAGACCATTATAAAAAATCGCAGTTACTAACAATGGGTAGGCTTTTTTATACTAGTACCATGGTACAATTTTAATATTTTATTTAGAAAAATTAGTAGGTACTACTAAATCGTGTAAATTTTCCGAATTACTGAACCGTTCTCTGCGCCGACCTTGCCGCATGAGGAATTCTTCGTAGCGCTCGAAACGAGATGATTTTTTTTTCATTTGCGATTGTGCAAAACGTGTAACCTGATAACATCCGCCCATAAAAGTTCATTTTTAAATTTCCCGCTTTTTATTATTTATTTGTCTATAATTGTGGGATCGGTGATCCAAATGAAGTTCAACTGAGTGTAGGGTGACAATAATTATTGTCGAACAAGGAAATTTCCAATCGAATTATGTGCTTATTATTATTAACTCGATCTGATAAGAATACTGTAAACCGCTGGCAGGTATATATCGTACATACAATAAAATGTTCAATTGAATAACATTTTCTAGCGCATAACGGATGCTTAGAGACCGCAACAATGTGTGTGTTTTTCGTTTTATAATAACATTGACCACGGTTGGCCTGTTTTCGCCTGACGTTCTCCGATACTCTGGTAACATCACAAACTATACAGTGTGTTACTAACCAAACTGGTCGAGATGATTCTTTGGCTCATTTTATAATACAAATGGTGAGCAAAATAGTTAGTGATTATTGATTAGATCTGGAAATGCTCTGTTTTTCTGATACAGGGAGTAGATAGGAGGGATATGCAAACATTGAAAATACGTTTTTTGTTGAATAAGTTACATATTATTATTATATTATAATTATTATTAAAATTATTATACTACAATACGTAAGGCAAGTTTGTGCTGTGTCTTAAAGAGGAGGGAAAAACTACTGTCTAACGATTTACAATAAGAATTTCTTATATAATTTGTATAAAACTATATATCGTATACCTTCTGCATATATTGTATAAAATAAAAGAAACCTTTGAAGTAACCTAAATTTAAAATTGAATCAACTAATTACAATATAGACTTAGAAAAACACCAATTATAAAATTCCTTGCAATTACTATAGAATATCAAACCGAAATGAAACAAAATTATTAATTTAAATGTGTGCATCCCAACTTGAAAACATTATACATATTTATTTATGGTGCTAGTTGGGACTATGGGTATTTATATTTGAGAGCAATCCAGTATGATTTACGTTTAAAATTATAATATCAAAATTGTGAGTTAAAAGCTTAGTGAAATATAAATGGCTAATAGCTTTATTGTATCTGGCATAAAAATATACGTTGGAATTATTTCTTGGAGTTGCATGAACATAACTACATAACCACTTTTTTTAGGTCAGTTGAACAACCTCAAAAGCTAGGTGCATATATGTTCCTTGCAAATTTAGTAACTTTTCACGAAAGATGTCTTAATAGAAAGTTTTTCTAGATTTTACCAGACCTTATTTAAAATGTTCCGTAAAATATAGAATTTACAACAAATTTTTTTTATTCTATTTGCCATGTATCAAATGTATTTTAAACTAATTGTTTGGTCAAGTTTTTCTTTTATCTATATTATAATTAATATTTAGAGCGGTGTTCGTTGAAAATTTTAATCTTAGTGAGTTAAAACAAATTAAATATTAATAACAGATTTAAAAAAGTTATTTCTTGTTTTGTTTTAATTTCCTATCCTACTAGCCAAATTCCTACATAAGGAGTGGAAACTTTTTTGATATGGTTTTTGTCTTAAAATCACTCAAAAAACCAGGTGGGTAGCTTACTTATAAACATCACGTATTCACTTTCTTATAAGCTATTTCTGATCATCGTTCTCAAGGATACGATACACAAACTCGCCGGTAATTTGTCCTTTTCACCGCGGCGGTTTCGTACGCGTTTATTTGTTTACATAAATAGAACGGTCATACATGTACATCGCCCGGAATGTATAACCGCCCAAATGCCTAACTGGTCATTCTCATTCTTTGCTATAAAATATTTATTTTTGACATCCTTTACCATTATTCCTCGTAAAAGTCAAAATGTTTATTTTTCTCGTGATAATTTCAGCCGTTTGTATTATGTTTAAAAAATGATGCTCTGTGGTAGCATCCGGGCTTTAGAGAAATTTTGTATGATACAAGGTATGTTCAAAAAGTAAGGTGACTTTTAAGTTTTATCAAAAAATATTTATTTATTCATCCACATTAATGTTGTCCCCTTCAAAGTAATCCCTTAGAGAGTTCTTCTATCGATTTTTTCTTTATCTGCCCAATCGTTCCAAACTTCCTTCATTTCATGGGTTTCTTGAGTTTTAGGAACAAGAAAAGTCACATTGTGGTTTTGTTTTTGGTCCAAAAAGTTAAACACAAGCAGCGATGAGTGAGCAGGTGCATTATCGTGACGCAAAGTCAATGAATTGTTTTCTCACAATTCCGGAAATTTTCTACGTATTGCTTCTCGCAAACGGCGCATAACTTCAATACTCTTTATTGACCGTACGACCTTGTGGTAAGAACTCCTGATGTACTACGTTACGATAATCAAAGAAAACACTTAGCAAAACCTTGACATTTGATCGAACTCGACGTGCTTTTTTCGGTCTTGGCGATTCTGCGTTCTTCCATTAGGATGACTGGGCTTTGGTTTCGACGTCATAACCACATACCCATGATGCGTCACCAGTCACCTTTTTGAGCATATCAGGATTCAAAATCAAGCAGTTTCGGAACAAATTTTGCTGCTAGACATTCCATGCCGACGTCTTTAGCCACTTCCCTAATAGTTTTTCAACGTTTTTTCAACACCATTTGTTTCACTTCTTTAACGCTTTCATCAGTTAATGACGTGGTGGAGCGTCCAAAGCGAGGTTCGGCATGGGCGTCTTCTCGACCATCTTCTACCACAACATTTTTTTTGCTCAAAGTAGGATTCACCATTTGCCGTTGTCAACATTTCAAGTGTTTTGCAGCACTTTGTTGAAACTGTGAACATATGTTAGAGACATACAACATAACAAAAAAAATTCACCTTCCTTTTTGAACATATAACGTATTCGGAACGGTTTTGGCTGTATCGCTGTATTTCTTCTATACGCTTCTGCCGTTCGATGATAGCTTGTTGTACTTTGTATTACTAGAATACCCCCTGAATGACAGTGGACCAAGTATAGGTTCCCTACTGAATAGTTCGCAGTTCTGGTCTGCTTGGTACATACCCATCATATGATCAGGCACTTAACTCCCTATACCTTTCAAACTATTAAGAAACAGCTATTTAGAAACTTCAGATAAGAAAAAACAGTATTTTATTAATTTTGAATTATTCCTTATT